CCTTCCTTCCTTCCTTCCTTCCTTTCCTTCTTTCTCTCTCTCTTTGTCTCTTTCTTTCCTTTTCTTTCTTTCTCTCTCTCTCCCTTCCTTCCTTCCTTCCTTCCTCCCTCCCTCCCTTCCTCCCTTCCACTGTTTGCATCACATCTTGGAAAAGTAACTTTTCCTGCCACTCTCCGTCCCACCTTTGCCAAGAAGTTCCAAAGCCGTGCAACCTGGGATATTCTGAGAGGGATAACCCAGAAGTCATTTTCACCAAATCCGCTCCACATGTTAGAAGCTCTGCCTTCCAGACTTTGCCCCTGAGAATTCTGGGAGCTGTAGTCCACAACGTTCCCTGTCCCAAGGTCCATCTTGATCGTGATAGCTGGCAACTGTTTGGGTGACTCTCTTGTCTGAATTCCAAAGGCAAGGTGCTGCTTTTCTTAGACCACTTAAATCTCACGGCACAAGCCAGCTTTTGACTCTGACAGGTGCCTCTGCCAGGCTGGGCATCACAAAGGAACCTGGGCTACACCTTGACCCACAGATCTGGGGATGTTTTATGTTTCTTCTGCACCTTTCCTAGCTCCCTAATGCCCAACCTGATGAGCACTTGTGCAGGATTCAAAAGCTAGCTTCTGTTTGTAAGATTCCAGCAGTCTCAGAAAAGTGTCGCCCATTCTTGTCTTTAGATTGTGCAAAAGGACCACCTGCCTCCTACAGCCCATCAGGTCAAAACCATCCCTCCCAGGTTAAGGGATGGTTTGGACCAATACTTTTTATTTTACATCTTGCGTCTGAGCATTCGCACCAATTAGGTAGGCCCTGGGCTCTCTCACATGTCAGTGTGGTCAGCCAGCAAGTTCACTTCATCATCAGTTAAACCATGCAGGGAGAGGGGAGGTAGTGTGTTTACCGAAATGGCTTTCCGGAGGTTTCGACAGGGTTTGCTTTGCCATCTAGTGTTTGCGAACGGTATTGCAAAGTTTGTGGCTCTCACTTTGTCCTGTCTTTCTTTTTCTCAGAGCAGAAGGGAGAGAGGAGGGCCGTCTTCAAATGTGACTATGAGACACCATTTTCTGGTTTTTCTAATCCTGGTGTGTTTCCTATTAGATTGCCTTTTCATGGAACACACAACAGGCCTGATTAGCTTCAGCTGCAAACCTTCTTTGCGCGCCTTCGGACTTTGGACACTTCAGTGCATGCCATTCACAGTGGCCTGCGTCCATTATCAACAGGACGTTCACAAGCCTGGGCATTGACCTCTGAACCCCTTCTCTCCTTGCAGTGTCGTTCTTTGGAGATGGCTACCTGGAGATGCCTTTGGCAAACGCCTACGACGCCGTCCAGCTTCACGTCCAGTTCTACACGAGCCAGCGCAGTGGACTCCTTTTCTTGGCTGCAGGGCAGACAGATTATCTCCTGCTGGAACTCCACAGCGGTGTCCTGGAGGTCAGCCAGATGTTCACCTCTAGCCTTCCCATGCAACTCTTCCATGGAACAATTCTGCAGGCCTTCAGAGGGAAGGGTCCAACACACAGCAGCCAGATTGCTGACTGGGGCCGGTCACAGGGACCACATAACCACCACCACTACCCCCATTACAGCAGTTCCACTGGCTCCTGATCCATTTCCCGAAACACATCAAAGTGCTGGTTGTAACATAGAAAGCTCTAAACAGCTTGGGCCCGAGCTGCCTCAAGGGCCGTGTCTCCCATTATGGGCCAGCTCGGGTGTTAAGCTAATCAGGAGAGACCTTTCTCTTAATCCCAACAACCTTATGGATGAGGACACAAGAGAAGGCCTTCCCTGTGGCTGCTCCCAGACTTTGGAACTCCCTCCCACTGGAGGCCAGGCTGGCCCCATCTTGGCTGTCCTTCCACAAGCAGCCAAAGAGTGTTATCTCCAGGCAAGCTTTCCCTTAATAACTGGCTGCCTAAGTGAGGTTTTAATTGCATGGCTGCGCCTTCCTGCTTTGAACAGGTTCTTGATTTTGCTTTTGTTTACTGTCTTTTAGTGTGGGTTTGTTTCTTCCTTTTTCGGACCTGTATATTTACTGATGTGAGTTTTCTCTATTGTCCTTTGATGTTGTAAGCTGCCTTGGGTCCTTCTTAAGGAGAAACATGGGATAAAAAATGTTTTAACTAAATAAATAATTTAGAAAGGGGGAAGGATCTCAATAGGATTCCCTCCCCCAGTTCAAAGAGCCCCCACTTGTGGTTTAGCGATAAATAAGTCTTCTCGCATTCTTGCCTGAAATCTTTCTACTCGTCTTCTTCTTTCCAAAGCCAACCAGCAACTGTGACGTAAATAGCCTGGACATTCAGGACAAGAATGAACAAGGATGATTGTGACGCTTGTTGTTTTTCCCCTGCAGGCCAGAATGGATCTCGGCTCAGAGGAAGTGACCCTCAAATCTCCAGCTGGACCTCATCTCAATGACCTTGTGGTCCACGACGTGGATCTCTTGGTGGCCGACGGGCGGATGACCTTGGTTGTGGACGGCTTCTTCAATGCCTCTGTGGAAATCCCAGGGGATCCCCAAGCGCTGGACATTGATTATGGCCTCTATGTAGGGGGGACAGGGACTCTGGAGCTACCGTACCTCACTGGCGTGAGCGTGCCATTCAGGGGTTGTCTCCACACAGTGACGTTCAACGACCAGGACGTTCTCTCCACATTGGCTTCTGGAACGAAGCGATCTCATGGCCTCCGAGAGGGGTGTAGCACTGAGTTCTCCGCCGGGGCCGATGACCCTCTCGGCTTTCTGGGACCAAACTCTTACGTCGCCTTCCCCGGCTGGAGCGCGAGGAACGAAGGGACCATCGAGTTTGTGATCACCACCAACATCAAGCACGCCCCTCTGATCTACCAGTCGGGCCTGGAAAACGATTTCTTCTACCTGGAGATCTTTGACGGGCGCCTCCGAGGAGCGGTGGAGAAAGGGAACGGCTTGGTGGTGCTCCACAACAACATCTACCTCAGCAACGAGCAGGACCACTACGTCAAGGTCCACATGGACGTCCGGAGGTTCGAAATCCTGGTGGACTACTATGCTTCGCAGACCTCGAACAAGGGAATCCACAGCTACCTCGACCTCCAAGGCCCCCTCTTCATCGGCGGCCTGAATGAGAAGGCTGCCCAGAGGATGATGGAGCGTGGGCTGGCTTTTATGTCTGGAAACAGCATCTTCAATGGCTCTTTTGTGGGCTGCATGGAGGACCTGAGAATAAACCAGGAGAGGAGAAGTTTGCAGGATGCTCTTGTCACTAGGGATATGACTGTGGGCTGTGGGAAGCAGGAACAGTATTCAGACTACGATGCTGCTTATGAACAGGATGAGGCCCCCACCACCTCTCCTCCAGACCATTGGCAGGGTCCGGTTATGGAGCGCTGTCGTCCGGACCCTAGCCTCCCTCCGGTGTTTGCTAACTTCACCAAACTGCTGCATGTCAGTCCCCTGGTGGTTGCAGAAGGAGGCACCACCTTTCTGGAGTGGCGGCACGCCCAGCCAACCATCGACCTGAGCCGCGCGAACATTAGGCAGTCTCAGGTCCTCTTCAGCGTCACCGCCAACCCAAGACACGGAGAGCTGCGGGTAGATATCCCCCATGCAAGGAACCGAAGGAAGTTCACTCTGTTGGACGTCGTGAATCGGAAAGTCAAGTACATTCATGATGGTTCAGAAGGACCCATGGATCAACTCCTCCTGGAGGTGACCGTCACCGCCAGAGGAGGGATCCCAGAGTGCCTGTGGCAGGGTCAGACCTACCTGCTGCCTATAAAGATCAACCCGGTCAACGATGCACCTGAAGTGATCTTCCCACATGGAGATCGCATGGTCATTCTGGAGCACACGCGTAAGCATCTCAATCCAGAAATTATTCAAGCCGTGGATGAGGATACCCCTTGTGACAGCTTGCGATTCCAACTGCTCGGCGGGAAGAGGATGGAGGAAGGCTACGTGGAATACGATTTCCATCCCGGAGAGCCAATTGAGGACTTCTCCTGTAGGGAGCTGGAAGCAGGCCACGTGGTCTACGTCCACCAAAACGGGCCCACGTCCACTCTCATTGTCCAAGTGAACGACGGCATAGTCATGAGCCCAGTGGCTACCTTGAGGGTGGTGGCCGTGGAGCCGGATATCCAGGTCCGCAACAACACAGGGCTGTTCGTCACACAAGGGGGCGTCGTTCCCATCACCATGGCCAACCTCTCCGTGGAGACCAACGCAGTGCAACAGAGAGTGCCCGTCTTGTATCGCTTGACTGTGCCCCTCCAGTACGGCGAGATCCAAAAGCAAGGGAACTTGGGTGGGGAATGGAAGAAAGTAGAGTCTTTCCACCAGCAGGACGTGGAGCAAGGGCGCGTCCAGTATTTCAGCACGGACGATGAGCACCGCACAGAGGACATGATCGAGAAGCTGCAGTTCCTTGTCCAGGTGGGGCAAAAGACCTTGCTAAATAACACCTTCCTCATCAGAATTAAGAAGGCCACCATTCAGATGAAGACCATGGTCCCCCTGCAGATGAAAAACGAGAAGGGAAAGAACATCACCACGGCTGAAATGGAAGCCGTTTTGGAGACACCAGATTCTAGCTCAGAGCCTTTCCACTATGTCGTCGTACAGCCTCCCAAAAAGGGGAACTTAGAGTTTCGCGGCACTCGGCTGACCAATGGCTTTGGCTTTACCCAGGAAGACTTGCAAAGCCATCAACTAAGTTACAGTGTCACCATCAGGGACTCCATGGAGTCCGAAGACTCCTTCCAGTTCCGCGTGATGGCTGGCGCTCATTTCTCCCCTGTATATACTTACAGGATACAGATTGGGGGAGACCCAGAAGCCCCCGTCCTGATCAATGTCCTTTTGTCTGTCTTAGAAGGAGGAGAAGCCATCATCTCCAAGGACCACCTGTTCATCAAGAGCGCTAACGATGCAAACTATGTATACGAAGTGATTGACGGCCCGACACACGGGAAGCTGGTCTTGAGGACATCTCCTTCATCCAGCGGGGAGGTGATAACAAAGTTCACCAATGAAGATATTCTCCAAGGCCGTCTTGTGTACCAGCATGACGATTCCGAAACCCTCGAGGATGACCTTCCATTCGTGGCTGCCAAGCAGGACGAGGGAAGCTCCGACATGGATGCGGAGGATGTGAGAGGTGTCTTCAGAGTCTCTATTCAGCCTGTGAATGACCACAGTCCTGTCCAAATGGTCAACAAAGTCTTCAATGTGGTCCGTAATGGGCAGCGCCTGATGACCACCAACGACATTGCTTTCGTGGACGAGGACTCAGGCTTCTCAGATGCACAGCTGGTGTTTGTCAGGAAGGACATCCTCTTTGGTGGCATCATCTCCGTGGATGACAAGAGTCGCCAGGTGTACCGCTTCACTCAAGATGACCTACGGAAGAAGAAGATCGTCTTTGTCCATGCAGGAGCGGACCGAGGCTGGATCCAGTTCCAGGTTTCCGATGGCTTGCACCAGGTGGCCACCCTTTTAGAAGTGCAGGCCTCTGACCCTTACATCAGAATCAACAACCACACCGGCTTAGTCATCCACCAGGGCAGTCAAGGGACAATTGACTCTTCCGTTCTCAGCTTGGAAACCAACGTGGATATTAGAAACGACGAAGACATCCTCTTCCGGATCATTGTCCCACCCAGATGGGGCGCGGTGCTACAAGGTGGGCAGGAAGTGTCTTCTTTCACCCAGAAAGACTTACTGGCTGGAGACGTCCTTTACCACCATAACGGGAGCAAGAATTCCCAGGATCAGATCCATCTCTCCATCGAAGCAAACCAAGTGGCGGTGGAGGATGTGCTGAAGGTCACAATTTTTCTAGACGCTCATCCTAACGCGCTGAACATTGTACACCACGAGAAGATGCACATTCTCCAAGGAGAAGCTGTGGAAATTAAAAGCAACCACCTGCTCGTAAGTTATACTTTCTCTATTATGAATGGGGTTTTTAGAAATTTTTGGATCATACGTCCCACAGTTCTCCATTTTGGGTGTTCTACCTGACAGACAGACACACCTGCTGGACACCTAAATGGGGCTCACCCAGGAGAAGAGCCTAAACTGGAAGGCTTTGAGGAAGAGCTAGGCCTAGCTCTGTCCATGCTTCCTGTTTCTGCGCTGGTCCTCCTTTTGAACAGGAAGCTAGGTGGAGCTAGGCCTAGTTCGTGTTGACATTCCTGACTGGCATGAGTTGATTGCTGCCTTTACTCACTGCACTTCTGTTTTATCTCCTTCTCCTCCACCTCTCAGGTTGAGCATGAAGACATTCCTCCCTATGAGATCGTCTACACAATCACCGTTCCTCCGTTCTCGGGGTTCTTGATGGGCTTGGCTCATGGCCACACCTCGGAGGAGCCGACGAGCTTGAATCCTATCGAGACCTTCACCCAGGAAGACATCAACGAAGGGAAAGTCCTCTACTTACACTCCAGCCCTGAGATACAGAACGACCAGTTCACCGTTGACGTCACAGCCAACGGAGCAGATCCTCTAGAAGGACTCGTGGTAGAACTAGAGATTCTTCCCATTTCAGTCCCTCTGGAAGTTCACAACTTCAGTGTGATGGAAGGCGGCCTCCAAAAGCTCTCCTTGGACATCCTGAACATTCCCAGCACCTACTTCACAACTCTCAATGTGGAATTTATTGTCCTTGAAGAACCAAAGTATGGCTTTTTCCAAAATGTGGAGAGACCTGAAGAGGACAGCATTACTGTCTTCTCCTGGTATGAGGTAGGAAGCGAGGCAGTTGCTTTAGTGCTTTCTTTCTATGGTGGTTGTCAAAGCCAGAACTTAGAAAAGTTACCTTTTTTGGGGACTGAAGCTCCCAGAATCTTCCAGACAACCATCTCCCTTGGTTGATGGCTTCTTGGATTTCTTGCCCAAAGAAGCATCTTTTCAATGTTCTTCTCCAGTGTTTCCCAACCTGGGGTCATATCCCAAAACATCTGGAGGGTCAAATTTCCCCCCTCCAGTGTTTCCCAACCTAGGGTCCCCAGGTGTTCTTGGACTACAACTCCCAGATATCCTGGCCAGTACAGTTAGTGGTGAAGGCTTCTGGGAGTTTTAGTCCAAAAACATCTGGAGACCCAACGATGGGAACCACTGTTCTACTCAAGACTGGCAATCCACTGACATGGGTGTCAGCAGTTCAATGTGTGAAATGGGTGAATGTCTGCTACAGGTTCAGAATGTGTTTTACAATACTCTTTTCATTGCTGCTGGGGTTGTTGTTACAGGCGCAGAAGGAGGGGACTAAGAAAGAATGGTTTTTCATCTAGGGAGGTCATGGTGTTGTAAGCAGGATTCGAACCCGATTTGTACTTCAGTCTCTTACCCACCACCGAACATCAAGTCTCAAAACAAAGACAGAAGGAAGTACAGGTTCAGAATGTGTTTTACAATACTCTTTTCATTGCTGCTGGGGTTGTTGTTACAGGCGCAGAAGGAGGGGACTAAGAAAGAATGGTTTTTCATCTAGGGAGGTCATGGTGTTGTAAGCAGGATTCGAACCCGATTTGTACTTCAGTCTCTTACCCACCACCGAACATCAAGTCTCAAAACAAAGACAGAAGGAAGGGAAGGAANAGGAAGGAACAGATCTTAGAAAAGTTACTTTTATGATCTTAGACTGCTTCAAACAGCCTGGCTAATCTCTGGGAAATAAGTTACATGCTAGCCCTCTTCAAATATCTAAAAAGAAGTAGAAGAAGGGAGCAAAAACTAGTTTTTCACTTCCCAACAGGCAAGACTAAGTCTAATGTTCTCATATTACAGGAGGGTAGACTTCAGATGGGCATTAGAAGGAACTTTTGAACAGCAAGGACAGGTGGACATTGGAACCAAATACCAGGAGGGGAAATGAACTCTCTCTTGCAAGCAATCTTTAAACAGAAGCTTATCAAGTGGAGGTTCTTCAACATGGTAGCTGTTAGGGACATGGTAGCTGTGGGTTTCCTGCTGTCAGGAACGATTGGTCCATACTACCTCCTCCAGTTCTGTGTTTCTGTGTGAAACCTGGTGGTAGTTACTCATCAGTGAAAGATGTACATTCACATCTTTGACCGTTCTTATATTTTTCATGTGAACTGCTCAGGGGTTCAGGTCTCCGGCTGTGGAGCCAGAGGTTGTGGGTTCAAATCCCCACTGTGGTTCCTTGACAGGGGCTGGGCTCAATGATCCATAGGGTCTCTTCCTGCTCTGCAGTTCTAAGATGGTGGTGATGATGATGATCCAACACACTTATGACCATCTCCTCTCCGCATTCAGGTAGAGCACCAGCTCATCAGCTACGTGCATGATGGGAGCGAATCCTTGGCTGACAGGTTCACAGTGGTGGCCAACATCTCGGAGGTTAAACAAGAGAGCCAACCCAAGACGGTCTTCATCACCGTTACCCCAACCAACGACGAAGCACCTGTACTGGTGGTCAGCACAGGGCTTCAGGTATGAAGTTACGAAGGGATGGTAGGAAGAGCTACAGGGTTTTAAAGGAGGGGTAGACAAGTTTGTGGTGGATGGAGGTATCTATGCCCATCATCATGATTGCTCTGCATCATCTCCAATATCCCAGGTTATGTGTTTCTTAGTACCAGTTGCAGAGACAGAGTTGAGTTGCTGTTCTCTTTCCAGTTTGCCAAAACCTGGTCCATCAGAGCTATTCATATACTCTTATTTTCTCACTAGTTTCCAAAAAAAGACATCCTTTTGCGTCCCATGTCTAAAGTACAGCAGCTAAAGTAATTAGCTACTAGCCATGCCAACGATGACAAAAGGGAGGAGCAGAAGAAGGCAAGACATGTAATCGTGCTGTGCTGCTTTTTCCACCCGTCCTTGGTTCAGAGTCATTGAGAAGAAGGGAGGGATGAGAACAACCTTTTTGACTTGCCTAGGATGGATCTGAAAAAATACCATCTCTTTTCCACTTTTTTGCCTCGCAAGGCTACAAGACGGCCAGACGATGGCAGCATCACTCCACATTACTTTTTCACGTTTTTGAGTTTGCAAAAGAAAAGAAAAAAGTACTATGGAGCTTATGTTTGTTTTATGTAATATGTGCAGCCATCAAGTCTCAGAATGTTGGAGCCTCCTTTTGAAAAATGAATAGGTTTGCCATCTTAATACACTTTCTTCCTCCCTGCCTGCCCACCCTTCATTGCACACTTCAGTGAAACAGGCAGCTAATAACAATTCAATAATTAATTGATAATTTTCCAGAGAGCATTCCCATTTATTTTACGTCCCTGGTAAACAGTTGTTGTTTGTTTATTTATTTATTTAAAGGGCATTAGTCACTGCTTGTTAGCCAAAAAGCTAAAACAAAAAAAATAAAATCTCACAGCCCCTCTTACAAGGAGATTTAAACAATTTCCCTCTAAATTTAAGACATAACACACAAGGAAGAAGGGTTGAGGAGGGAGGATGAAAAAAAAAACCAACTTAGGCTGCAATACAAGATAATGATATTTGTCTGAAACCATGAGAACAAAGCTCCAAAATTCAGGATCATCAGGTGGACATCATCCTGTACATTGGGATTTTAGGTCCAAACCCTGAAACATGGAGAATGGGTCCCAAATGTTCTGCCTCAAGGCCAAGCCGGAGACCTGATAAACTTGGCCGGCAGTCAGAACTCGGCCTTGGGCAGCCGGAATCTGTAAAAGTGCATCAGCAAGCTCCTTGTTAACTCATGACACAGTTAAAGGCTCATCGTTATTAGAAGTCACATCGTTTCTAAATAGCTTTTTCCAGGTTTGTGAGATGTTTAAGGAGTGTTTAATCAGTGCCACACAGATCCTGGTGACTTTCCACACCTTTGCAATGATTTGAACCCACCACTCCTGAGTCCTAATCCGACATGCTATCAACTACACCACCCTATCGCTCTAATTAGAGACTAAGGACCTGTCCACTCTAAGAAATCTGGTGCAATTCGTCCAGGGTGTAAAAAATCCTTATCCTCAATTTTAACGACTGCTACCGTCTGCGAAGGCAGAACAAAGCTATTTTGCATCTCAGTGAATCCTCCCAAAAAGATTGCATGTCCTAGCCCTGCGCCAGAAAGAGATGGGTCAGCTCTTAAAGGGGAAGGATGGATTGTTTTAAGTAGAAACGCATGCCGACAAGGTCTTTTTTTCCCATGCAAAACATAGTGTTGACAGGCTCTAAACTAACTGGGGGAGGGATGAAGGCTGTAGGAAAACAAGGCAAATGGGTAACGATTTCAGAGTGCTCGAGCAGCGTTTGTACGAAAGCTCCCTCCAGGATTTTCTGCTCCATCCAAGCTTTTTCTCCAGAAATAAACCCATCTCCACTACATCAGAGCCGAGCGGCCCTTGGCATTTCCATTATGCGGTGCAACCTTCTCCTCCTCCAGAGGGCTCTGGAGCGTTCATGTCAAACAGCTCACGACTACGAGACAAGCCGGTCCAGGTCCCCCCCCCTCCCCGTGAAGGCAGAATGAGTTCATGTATGTCAGAGGGGAAGAGAAGAGGCCGAATCCCACATGGGGCTGTGGAAGAACCGAACACAGTGAAAATATAATTAGGAAAGAACAAATCCGAAGTGACAGCACCGGGCTGGTGTCCTCATAACCCATGATCTCATTGCCGAACAGATGATAATCAGGATTCTTTCAGGTCACAGAGTTTTTTTAGTTTGGGGCTGGTGGTTTCAGTTCAAGGTCATGGTTCCGGATCCTTTTCCCAGCTGAATTGATGCTTCCCAACAATGGAAAATAAATGTTTTGTTGAGCAACGCAAGGATCCCATGTTTTTTTTTTCCTGAGCTGTTGGACGTGATAGATGTATTTCATTTCTATCCTTCTTGAGTCATGGTAAAAAGTTTGGAATTTTTCACTTTCTGAATGCTTGGGACTTCAGCCTCCATAGTGCTGTGCCCTCCCTTAGCCCTGGTGGATGGGGCTGGTAGTCTGGGCAGAATACCGAATTTTGGCTAAACTCCTCTAGATGCACAGCAGAAGTGCAGGGACTTAACAGAGCAGAATTAGCTTCAAATCTCCCCAGAGGAGACCACCTCTTATCATCTCATCAACGGGCAGTTACAGTCTCAACAACTCACTCTGAGACCTTGGTAAGAGAAGGAATAAAATGTTCTATTTATATACAATTCTCAACTGATTAAACAAATAGCATGATGTACAAAAATAGTTATAGTTACAGACCTTAACAGATTCACACTGCCTGCTCCCAGCAGGCTCCTGCAGACTGCATTCTGACAGTAAACTTGCTAACAGGCTGATTAACAACTCTGACTGAAAAAAAAAGGAGAGGAAAAGATACTTAAGCAGAGAGGTATGTCTCTCTTCGAAATCAGAGGCAGGAAAGGAGCAATTGCTTCCTGCTGAATTGATTGACAGTCATCCCAACTCAGAAAGGTCCCTCCCAACTAAATCTAGTGAAGGCAGCATACAAGTTTGTAAAAACTCCAACAGATAGGAAGATCTAAAACATCAGGAGGACCAAATCTTCTAGGCAGTACATATACTGGAGTTAGAATAACCAGGAATAGTTTCTGTGTGAGAGGGAGAGGGAGAGCTGAGCTTAGTTCTGGCCCTTCATTTTGCATGCAAATCTTTCATGGATTTTTTCTCTGGATGGTGGTGGATCTCGGGCTTCCAGTCTGAAATATACAAGAGTCAATCCAATAAGCCTGGAATCTGTCACCTATTGACCACCCAAACGGGTGACCTGCCTGCCCTCCAGATGTTGATGAGCGATCATTCTCATCTCAACTTTAGGGGCAGAAATTACTTTTGGGGACTACAAGTCCCATTGACCATCCTGGCTGGGGCTACAGTCCAGAAAAGCAACCCCATCACCTCTGGTCCCTGGCTAGGCTTACAGAAGTTGGTGGTGATGCAAGAACTCCCAATTGGAGAGCTTCAGGTCTCCCACCCCTGAGGTGGGTCTTAGAGATGGGCACAAATTGCCAGTTTTGGTGGCTTGTGCTGGTTTGTTTTTCAGCCGAACAGGTGTTTGTTGCTTCTCAGCCCCACCTCCTTTGGCAACCACCCGCTCAGAGGAAGTAGCCTGGCTTCCTTGCCCTTCCTTCTCCAGGGGTAGCCTGCTGGGGGAGGCAGGGCAGGGAAGCACCAAACACCTGTTTCGCTGAAAACAAACAGGCACAAATTGCCAGTCTGGTCTAATCCAGGTCCAATCCATCAGGGCTTTTCTGATGAACATTGCCATAGACCTCTCTTTCAAGAGCGGGAGGTAGGGTAGCGAAAAGCAAGCTCACACAGCCAACCCCAAGGGAGAGGAGTTTACCCCTTGGCAGTGCCATCATCCAACGCATCTCCAGTCCAAATGATGTGAAAGCAGCCCCATGTCTCTCTGGCGTCCTCCGTTTTGTTTTCCTCCAAAGATCAGAGGCAACACGGAGGATGGGCAAACATAATAAAATGCATCCCGAAGAAGAGATACGAAGGCATAACGCTTGAATAATTCAGCCTTGATGTAGGCTACAGAGAAATCTCTCTTCAACAGATCCCTCGGAGGAAGGTTTTGAAACAAGATATGTCCATTATCTTTGGCGGGGTTCCTGGCTGCCTCTAGCAAGGGCTGTTTCTGCAAAGTGCCATACAATCTGCAAAGCGAAGACAGGGCTGAGAAATGGAGTGGAGAGGCTGCTTTTCAGATAGGTCGCTTCCTTCCCTTGTCAACGGCCTCATCCAGAGACAGTGAGAAGCCTAACAGAAGCTTAAGTCAACTATCCGTGTGGCTAGCTCAGAGCCATAGGGGCAACTGCGTTCTTCCAACCACACCATCTTCTAGAAAGTGGCCAGTTGCACATCACACCAAACGAAGACATGCATCATGACACGTAAGGGAGAAGAGTGGTTTACATCAGACTGCATGAACTAGTTTATGCGGAGAGGTGGGAAAGACTGCAAACCAGTAGCCTTTGTGCCATCCAGATGTTAGCCGTGCAAATGTACAACTTAACGTTCCTTGAAATCCCTTCCGCTGATTGTTTAGATGTACCAATAGGACAGACTATAGGTCGCTTCCTTCCCTTGTCAACGGCCTCATCCAGAGACAGTGAGAAGCCTAACAGAAGCTTAAGTCAACTATCCGTGTGGCTAGCTCAGAGCCATAGGGGCAACTGCGTTCTTCCAACCACACCATCTTCTAGAAAGTGGCCAGTTGCACATCACACCAAACGAAGACATGCATCATGACACGTAAGGGAGAAGAGTGGTTTACATCAGACTGCATGAACTAGTTTATGCGGAGAGGTGGGAAAGACTGCAAACCAGTAGCCTTTGTGCCATCCAGATGCCTTCACAAACCTCAGTCAATGTTTCCAAGTTTCTGAGCTGCTGTTAAAAACATTGGTGGTGGTGGTGGTGGTGGTGGTGGTGGTAGTGGTTGTGTGTGTTGAGGAGAGCAGGGACAGAAATATGTGGATGAATGTTGAAGGTCTGAGGGTGTCACCACGGAGGGGAGGGGGAGCAAGGCAGGGAGGGGGCAGCTTTGTCGTGGCTGGAATACTCTGAGGAACGGAAATTGGAACAGAATCTGCTCTCAGTCACCCCAGAGTGCAGGACATGTAATAATGGGCTCAAGTTACAGGAAGCCAGATTTAGGCTGAATATTAGGAAAAATGTCCTGTCTGTTAGAAGGGTACGACAACAGAAACAATGGCCTTGGGAGGTGGTGAACGCTCCAACCTTGGAGACCTTCCAGAGAAACTTAGACAACCACCTGGTGGATCTCCTTTGACTTGGATTTCTGCCTTGAGCAGGGGCTTGGTCTCCTAGCCCCTTGGACTCCTGGGGGCCTTCTAGGCCCCTTCCAGCTCCATTATTCTATGATCTTGAAGATAAAATTGGACTGGGTAGCCCTTCAAATGGAGAATATATTCAAAACATCTGGCAGGAAGGGTTGCCTTCCATGAAAGATGACACACAACCACACTCTACTTGCATATGACACCATGAAATGCAAGAGGACCAGTCTCTGACATTTTGCACCATGTCCTAGTTTTGTGATATTAATGTGACACCTGTTGGGCAGAAGAAGACCATCGCTTTCCCCTCTCCCTGCTGTTGTTAGATTCACAAAGGAGGAACTCAAGAACGGGGACAGCATGAAACGGCAATGTAGGATCTGCACAGCTCTTTCTAGCAAAGCGGTTGAAAGATTGCGCTATGAATCCCACACCTGAATCCTGCTCCTGTCACCCATTCACGAAATGGCTTTAGGACGCATTTCTGAGCCTTGGTCTTCCTCACTTTAGGGTGAGGGTGGGGGGTAACCAGTACCTGGAAGTTTTCTTTATATAGATGATAATTCCCAGAATCTGCCTCTTAGCACGGCCTGTCGCCATGTTGCATAGTGGGTTTCAGAGGCTGTGATGTAGCAAAGAAACTCTTCCACTCCCTATACGGAAGTGATATAACAATTTTTTAAAAATAAGGAGCCCATTAAGCTCTTTAAGGGTCAAACAACAAAATACGAACAGTGCATCATTAGAAGCAGATCACTAAATGCTGGACAAAGTCTTATTATTGTAGGACTGCTTTCGCCTCCTGTAGCTTGCAAATTAGCTTTGTTTCGTGATTGGCCCGCATGAGGTAAACATCGGCTTCAATGCTTCTGATGCATCATGCGCAAGGCTCAGAGGTTTTGGCATTGCGGATAACCCATTTTCAGCTTTCAGTGATGTGACATCTTTATCATACAGCCCCGAGTTGCTGTAGAAATCCAGAATATTATTATCATTTAGGACCAACTTTAGTTTCTCTCCTCGTTATCTGCTTTTAATTTTTTCGGATGACTCAAGCATTGTTCCTGACTTCTGTCATGCATGTTGGCTTGAGGAAAGGTTATTTAGACATCGCGGCATGCGATTCCAGGCCGAGCTGACCTCTGGCCCAGGCAGCTGTGCTTGCATTGAAACACGACACACCCATTTCATAC